AACTATGAGGAGAGACATCAATGGCTGAGTGTATGCACGTGTGCATATGGATGTATCAGTATTCCATATGGAGATTTGCGTCTGCCCAGAGATGTGTGTGTGTGTTAGTATATCATGTGTGTCTGCGTTGTGGGTCTATATATTATGTGTGCATGTATGTGTAAATTATATGTGAGCAAATTGTGTGTGTGTGTGTATATTGTGGGTGTGTTCCAGCGGTGGTTAAGCCTTCAGCCTCTCTGCCCCCATCCTTTGGAACTCCATTTCACATTCCCTCCACCTCGCTCCCTCCCTTGCCTCCTTCAAGGCACATCTCAAGACCCTCCTCTTCGATCGCGCCTTCAGTCACCCTCCTACCCTTATCCTCCCTGCTCTCCACCCTCTCTGATCCCAACCCCCACTGCTTAGGTCCAAATCCCTGACTGTTCAGCGCCTTGGGACGTCCACCGACGTGAAAGGCGCTTTTCAAATGTAATTTTGTGTCATATAATAATAATCCTCACTTTGATATAGTGCTTTTCACGTCTCAAAGCGCTTCATAGAATATACTGTAAAGTGAATTGACTGTATATTTGTGGGTGAAACTGTATATACTGTGTGTGGGTGGGAGAGATGAAAGCTATTACAAGGCCTGACATAGTTCCAGGCATGCTGAATATCTCCGTCAGGCTCCTTCAACTGAGTATTGTGTGGCGTTAAATCCCAACTTCTTGGGTGAAAGTGGTTGCGAGGTACTGGGTACATTGAGGCTGGTTATGGGGGGCCAATGTCAAAGGGCAAAACTGTTCAATTCTAGTTCCACCAAGTTCTCAAAAGGGGTCAATTTCGAATGACACAGTGTCCACTCAATGAAAGGCAGGGTTGCTGATTGACAGAGACCGCTGCCAAATCATCAACATCCCCTATTCATTGGCCATCGACAAGCACCTGAGGTCAACGCAACAAAGATCTGCTGCTGTGGATTAAAATTAATCCACATTGTGTTCATATGCACTGCCTGAAAATGCGTCGACACAGTGCAAGCCGGGGAAGAAAAGCTAGGTAGGACTGCAGCCTTCCCTGATAACATAGATCTTTAATATGCAAGTCTTTGAGGCATCAACTGCAAATACAATCCAATTGAAGAAGTGCATCCTTCTTAGTCTGTGAAGCTCTTTCAGAAAAGCTGCCATGAGAGCCACTATATCAAATGTAAGGATTATTATCGCTGCTTCTCTGGGCGCTGAGTGCTAATTGGTAACACCAACAACAAATTTATATTTGAATAGTGCCTTTCACGTCGGGAGGACGTCCCAAGGTGCTGGACAATCAAGTATTTCAGACCCGAGCTGGGAGTTGGGATCGGGGAGGGTGGAGGGGAAACGAGGGTGGCAAAAGGCACGATCAAAGAGGAGGGTCTTGAGACAGGTCTTGAAGGAGGCAAAGGAGGGGGCGAGGTAGAGGGACTGCAAGATGGAGTGCCAAAGGATGGGGGTAATACTATTACCGCTTGCAGATTTGGGGTTGGTGTTCTTAAATGGCCTCCAGACCTGCAAAGTCCACCTGTAGGAATAGTGCTCCATGGGAACAGATTCACAGCACATTACATCAAAATGTTTACATGGTTCCAATGGGGGTTCACACAGGCTGGAACAGCTTGCCATCACTTGAGTCAGGACTTTCTCACAGACTTGCAGGGTTAACTCATTCCAATTTCATGACTTTTCACTATAATAATCCTTTCATTTGATACAGTGCCTTATCAAGTCTTCGAAACGTCTAAAAGCGCTTCACAGAATATACTGTAAAGTGTAGGGACTGCATATTTTGTGGGTGAAACCGGGTAGCCGATTGCGCACAGCAGTGTCCCACACACAGTCATGGATTGAGTGACCACATTATTATTATTATTTTTGAAGGGATTATTATCCCTGGAAAGCAATCCGACGATCGACCAACAACTGGGTTCCTAGTTAATGCTAGGTAAACAGAGGCATGTGGAGTAAGGAAACTTGCCTAAAGTTTCTTCGTGCCTGGGAATTGAACTCCTCTCACTTCCAAGGTGAGCGCTCTAACCACTGAGCTACAGGATTCCACATTATTATCTGCTGTGATTTCCTGTGACAAAGAGTGATCCAACTCAACAGACAATCAGGTCCCCAGTCAGTCATTCTTCTCCTCACCACCCCCTCACCCGAAATCAGGATTCCCTCTCACCTCCGACAGGATCCTCAGGGTCAGGTCTTTATGGCTACAGAGTTGGGAAAACAGTTAATTTCATGATACAGTATCAGCTGCCTACCAAGACAAACTACTGTACTGCACTACCACTGTCAGTCATGTAAATCACTTGGAACAATCCTGTAGCTCGGTCCCCTGGAGCCCCAGCTTCCCCATTGGATTCTATGAATAAACAGCGATGATTTTTTTAAAGGAAGCAGAAGCCACTTCCAGAAAAAGAAATCTGTCAGCATAATTGAAAGAGAAGTGCTCAACTTGCCTGGAATTCCCGTGTTCCCGTTTTAAATTTACCCAGAGAATTGACAAACTCTGGGAACATTCTGAGAACCAAAATATTGGCAAGTCAGATCAGACAATACTTTTTATATTCACCCAAGTACCTCAAGTGTTCTGAGACACTACAGTCTCACTTACATCAACAACAACAAATTATACTTGTATATTGCACTTCACGTCGGAAAGACTTCCCAGGGTGCTGGACAGTCAAGGGTTTTTAGACCTGAGCTGGGAGTTGGGGTCAGGAGGGGTGGAGGACAGTGAGGGTGGGGGTGGGAGGGCAGCCAAAGGGATGGTCAAAAAGGTCTTTAGACGGGATATAAAGGAAGCAAGAGAGAGGTAAGGCGGAGGGATTGCAGGATAGAGTTCCAGAGTGTGGGGGCAGATGCTGAATGCCCAACTACCAATGGTGGGGCGAGAAGCATGGGGGACCTGAAGCAGGCCAGAGTCTGCCAAGTGGAGGGAACGGACAGGCTAATATGGGATTAGGAAGTCAGAGAGCTAGGGGGGAGCAAGACCGTGGAAGGCTTGGAAGGTGAGAACGAGGGTTTTGTTCTTGATTCTCTGAGGGATGGGGAGCCAGTGAAGCCGGGCAAGAATGGGGGTGATAGGTTTGCGGAGCCTGGTGCAAGAGAGGACATGTGTGAAAACAGTGCAGATAATGGGTCTGTGTGTGGGTCTCTTTCTCTCTTATCTGTACTCACCTGGATTCGGGCGATGTTGCGGAGGTGGGGAAGGCAGAGCGGGTCATCGCATGGATGTGGGGTAGAAAAGATAGTTGAGGGTCAAACAAAATGCCAAGGTTCCAGACTGGTTTAGCAAGGTGGAGTGTGCAACCATGGATGGTGGTGCTGTCAGCATCTGAGGTGTGGAGACGCTGACGGGAGCCAATCAGAAGGGCTTCAGTCTTGTTGTCGTTCAACAGAAGAAAGTTAACTCTCATCCAGGACTTAATGTCTGACAGACATTCTGTCAGGACAGCAGTGATCCATGTGAAAGGCACCATATCAATGCAAATTGTTGTTGTTTTAGTCTTCTGTCACAAACTCAGTCTGAGATCTCCTGGCAACATGGCAAAGCCGGCCATCACTCCACACTCTTCAATTTTGACACAGGAGAGGCCTGAAATTCCACTTAGCATTAGCTTGCAGGCTGTTTTGTTTGGAAACTCAAGATTGTGTGCAGAATTGGATACAATTCTTCAATTCAAGAGAAGCCGACTTTTTTAATAATATTAAAAAGAAACTTTCCAATTAAAAAAAGGTTTTCAAATTAAGATTGCATTGAAGAATTTTTTCCACAATTCTGCATGATTTTAACTGTTAAACCAAAATGGTTGTTAAATGTGGAGAGTGATGGTGGGGGAGGAAATTATGCTTGAATAGTTTCAATAACACAGTGCCACAGTAGCAGAAACTAATTTCAGTTAATAATAATAGAGCTGTCATAACGTACAGCCCAACACCAGATGCCTCTGGCCCTGAGGGCATGATATATCATTTATTTCATTTAAATTGTAATTTAATTTATAATCTTTACTCGGAAGGTTGTGGCATTGCTCAATTTTATAAACAGTTTTCTCCATTTAACATAGAAAAGGGAAATCTTGCCAGAAGACATTTGAATCCTTTTTTTCCTCTATTTGGTGCATGGCTCCACAGACATCAGACTCCCGCCAATATTCTCCTCCAAAAATAAAAATAATTTGGTCACTCAATCCATAATTAAAATAGAATAAATAATTTGGAATTGTCTTTTGAAGACTGTTTGTGGGACACTTCTGTGCACAATTGGCTGTCATGTTTCACTCACAAAACAGAGTCATTACACTTTACAGTGTAACCTGTGAAGCGCTTTGGGATGTCTCAACAACGTGATAAGGCGCTATATCAAATCCAATTATCATTATTATTATTATTATACCTCATCCAAATGGCCATTATTCGTGTGAGTCTGGATGGGTGTTGGCATCAGTTAAGCCATGACCAAAAATCTAAGATAATAATAATAATAATTCTTGCATTTGATATAGCGCCTCATCACATCTTCAAGACATCTCAAAGCGCTTCACAGAACACAGTATAAAGTGAATTGACTGTATATTTTGTGGGTGAAACACAACAGCCAATTGCACACAGAGGTGTCCCGCAAACAGTCATTTGAGTGACCAATTTATTATTTATTTATTTTACGATCAGGCAGAATTGTGAAATATCGGAGCACTTACGAAGATGGATGGCAAATCCTTCTATTCTGTGAATGGGGATTGAAATTGTACGTGAAAACTCTGAACAAAGGCCCCACCTGGTTTTCACCTCAGACACCTAAGCACTTACTCTGATCTCGCCTGTCACAGGTTCTTGTGTGTGAGTGCGCACACATTGGATGTGTTTGTGCGTTCTGGTGATAAGATGAAGGAACTAATTGTATTATTCATCATGTACATTCATTACAAAATCTATATTTAATTTAAGGGAAAGGCCGATCAAACAGAACCATCGTACCTGAAGTTATGCATAAATTGTCGAAATTTATCAGCTCTCTTTGCCAGGGGCACGATGATGTTAATTAGTACATGGGACGTGTCCACTTTTTCCTTCGTCACCTTCATGATGGGACCAAATGGACGGAATAGAACCAGGCGTTTGAATTCACGGGCTTTGTCTCCTTTGAAAGTAAGCTCGTATAAGGTACCTTTGTCCTTCTCTGTGCGGTAAATACCTGCGGAAATGACGAAAATTCAAAACAAATTACTCCTCGCCATCAAAGCAAGGGCAATCATGGCCTGAGGATAATAATGATAATAATCCTTGCACTTGATATACTGCCTTATCACAACTTCTAGACGTCTCAAAGCGCTTTACAGAATATACTGTAAAGTGAATTGACTGTACATTTTGTGGTCGAAATGCCCACAAATCAACTAGTAATCTAATTAATCTGAACCACTTTGTTCACCTAAACCTTCTGCTGAGAATGATTGTCCCTAGTTATAGAATTTGAAACCATGTTAAACATATTATTACTCTTCAGTTCACTGTACCATTTAGCATCTTAAATACTTAAATAGGATCTCCCCTGAGCCTTCCCTTTTACAGTGAGAACAGGAATTGAGAACACTTTAAAAATAAACCTATTATAGCTGTATTATCATTCAGATCTGAGACTGATCTGCCAGCACAATACAGGTGGAGTGATTGTCAACTCTTAACACAATATACAATGCTCAATCCAAAATGCCGAGACCTAAATAATCACTTTTGCTTAGACAAAACCCAACGGCATCGAGCAGACGATGAGAGCAATTACATCAGCTCAGTCTATCTCAGCTCAACTTGTAGACGGAGAAGACTCAAAGAGAAAATAATCGGATGTGTCTGGTGAGAGTGTAAAACCAGCAGGGAATCGATCACTTCTTAAAAGAATAGCAAACAGGCAAGACTTTGTCAATGCTTCCTTCAGATGTTTCACAGATGAAACATAACAGGATATCCAAGAATATGCAAACGGCCATGACCTTAAGAGTGCTGAGTGAGCTTGCACATGCACATTGTGAAACTGATGTTAACAACAAAGGAACTCATGTACTAACAAAAAGGATGTGTGTGTGTGTGTGTGTCTAAGTCACACACAGGTCATTTCAATCCACGACTGTTTATGGGACACTGCTGTGTGCAATTGGCTGCCGCATTTTGCCCACAAAACATACAGTCAATTCACTTTACAGTATATTCTGCGAAGTGCTTTGAGATGTCTAGAAGATGTGAAAAGACGCTATATCAAATGCAAGGATTATTATTATTATTCACAACAAGACTTTCTTAATGAAGCAATACAATTGGACTCATGGGTTAGGTTCTTTAGGGCAGCAATCAGAGATCCTTCTTCCAGCCACCATCTAAAGAGAAGTGTCCCTGTGAGACATTGGATTAAATCAGCTATCACGCCAGTGTGTTTAAATAGCTTGCCAATATGTTCTCACACTACGGCTGCTGAAGTCTGAAGGAAATTAAGTCAATCAGTGATCAAGTGGTGAGATGGTATTTTTAATATGCACCAACACTGAAATTAGAGGTTTTAAAATCAACTTAATCCTGCTGCACCGCAAATCAGAAATGATAGTATTGTAGAAATGGGCCATAAACTTTCTAGTTTCCAGCATGCAGCATAATAATAATCCTTGTATTTGATATAGCGCTTTAACACACATCTTCGAGATTTCTCAAAGTGCTTCAAACTACACTTAACTACACTTTGAATTAGGGTCAGGAGGGAATCTGCCACTGTTCCTTTCCCTGTTCCCAGATGTTAAAGAACAAATTGGATGATTGCTTCCAAACATAGACTTGTGCGGGAAAAGTATAATCCAGGCAAAGACATGAAGAGCAAGACCACACCAGAAGATAAGGTACCTTCAAATCAGTACAGAATTATTATTATTATTATAATTTAACCCCTGTTCACAGCTGATCATGACTGGGTCTTTGAAGCATCTATTTCTAATAAACCAGCCTGCCCTTACCCTAACACAAATAATTAACCCTTGAAACCAGAACTAGTGTATTACTTATTTCTACTGCACTAGAACACAATACCAACTAATCCTAGACTTGTGATTCAGAATTAAGTTGTTTTTGTGAATCATTCTGTCAATTTCGGTATTGGTAGATATTGGTGGACAGTGCCACTGATTGCTATTTAATTTCATTATCTAAGGTCTTGAGGAACTGTAGTAATAATAATAATCCTTGCATTTGATACAGTGCCTTATTACATCTTCGAGACATCTTCACAAAATATACTGCAAAATGGATTGACTGTATGTTTTGTGGGCAAAACACGGCAGCTAATTGTACACAGCAGTGTCCCACAAACAGTTGTGGATTGAGTGACCAATTTTTTTTAAGGAATTATTACCCCCGGAAAAGCAATCGACTAACAGCCGGGTTCCTACTTACTGTTAAATAAATAAAAACCTTTAGAGTAAGGAAACTTGTCCAATGTTTTACCCAGTCTTTCGATTGCGAGGCGAGTGCTCTAACCTCTGAGCTAGAGGACTCTACTAGAATTGACCTCAGCCCAAAATAAGCCATAGTAACTGTCCTGAACCGATCACATTTCGACATCACATTAGGGTCCAAAATGTAATAATTGCAAAACTGATATCTTTGAATTTGTGCCTTGCAGTTTGAGATGCGAAGAAAAACAATAATCATCGGCTTTCAAATTCTGAAAGTCAGCCAAGGCTGAGAAAAAGGCCAGCTTTGTTTTTTCTCTGCTGTCTGGTTGAGAAAAGGCTCTGGAGCAAAAAAGGAGGACTTTGGGGATTTGAAGGTTCACTTGATTTTAATTTAGAATCAAATTTTAATTTATGAAGCACAAATGTAGGCTGCAATTAATAAAAGTGACAACTGATCAGTGTCAGCAGTTTGAGGGGTGACTCTGATAATGATGACTTGATGATGTGCCATTATAATGGGGAAAAATTACATGGGAGGCTGAAATCCTCAATGTCAACTGCCAAAACACAAACAAGAATTTCATCCCTCTTGGTTTGCAAATATAACATTTTAGACCCATCGTCCACCCCATTACCCCCACAACAACAACAACTTGCATTTGTATAAAGTCCCGCATGTGGGCCAGTGTCTTGGGAGTACTTAAAACAAGAAAACTGTTGAAATTGCTCAAACAAGGAAGATGTTGAAATTATGGAGAAACTGCCTTATACTTAGAAGCAACCCCGTGAGAACATTGGGTAAAGAAAATACTCTGCTTATAGACAGACCCGGTCAGGGTAGGTCAGGACTCCATCTGCAGATAAGATCACTCCAACATATGTGGGCTGCACAAATGGCTGCACATGATCCAGAAAGTTGGTCTTCCTCTGCGTAATTCAACTGTAAATAATAGGCAGTTATAAACCAGGCACTATTTATTATTGAGCAAATAGCATCCTTGTTACCCTGCTTCCATATTTTTAAGCGCAATTAGTTTCTGACAGGGAGGAATATACACAGGAAAAAAATTTAAAATGGCACAGGAACACACAGGAACCATTTTGGCAAAACAAAAACCAGAAGCTCAAAGTTTTGATCAAATATAAATGTTCCTTCTTGGTTGCAAGTTTTCCTCATGACTCATAAAGATCAGGTTATATGACATGTTTTTGTTTTAGCTTCAAATGCCTTACATAACAAGGGGGGTTGTTATTTAAAAAACAATAACTTTTATTTCTCCTGTCAATTTCTCTTGTCGAGTACAATCTTTGTAGGAATGTGGATTCAGCTGGCCAACCTTACACAGGAACCGCTTAAACTTTGAACTCGACTCACATTTAAAACCACATTGGTTTGATTTACAAACTATTTCTATCTGTGTTTTAAAATCGACTGTTTAATTTATATCTTAAAATGTTGAGATCATAAACCTTTTACCTCTTGACCATTGAATAAAGTATTGAGACTTTTTCTGTGATTCTTAAAAAGAAACAGCTTGCAGTAAGAGTGAAATTGAAGAATTTTCCATAAGCCTGAACAATTTTACCTTTTAAGACATGATGGATTTGCAGGGTTTGCTGAGTTAGCTAATGCTGAGGGGGATATAGATGAGTATCCAATAACCCTGCTGTCTGTAAGCGCACGTGGGTGAACACCTAAAAAATGCAGAAAAAAACTCTTTTGCATGAAGACTGAATTTTAGACTTTTCCAAAATTCTGCACAATCTTGGAGCCCTGTAGCGTATCGATTGGAGCACTGACTTCGCAAGCGAGAAGATCTGGGTTCGATTCCCTGGCAGGGTAAAACCTTAGGCAAGTTTCCTTACTCCACACGCCTCGGATAATCTAGCAGTAAGGAGCAACCCGGTTGTTAGTCGATTGGTGGATCACTTTTCCTGGGGTAATAATTTCTTCAAAAAAATATTAAGAAATTGGTTATTCAATGTACAACTGTTTGTGGGACACTGCTGTGCGCAATTGGCTGCTGCGTTTTGCCCACCAAATATACAGTCAATTCACTTTACAGTATATTCTGTGAAGCACTTTGAGACGTCTCAAAGACATGATAAGGCTCTATATCAAATGCAAGGATTATTATTATTATTATTTTGAGGCAATTCTTAAGGCTGTGGCTTTAATGATTTGGGGCCACTGGTGAGAAAGGGGTCATGTTAACAATTGATGTCTTTCCCATGGTCAAAGAATCTGCTGCCACTTTCCAAGCTTACTCGCAATTCCCTCTGAAATGTCCACTCCCTCTCAAATAAAACCGTCACATCCTTGACCTCACCTATTGTCCTTCCAAACCTCCTGGTTCTTTCATCCCTGACATCTCCTCCCTCCACCTCTCGACCTCGTTATCACTCATGGCCTTAGACCATTTCCTTATCTCCTTCTCCTTCCTCATCCAACTCAATGGGACCCCACTAGCTTGGTTCGAATCCTACATAACCAACCGCCTTTACTTCATCTCTTCAAACAGTTCCTCCTCCCACCCCCGCCCGGTCAGTGGTGGACCCCAGGGCTCCATCTTTGGCCCCTTCCTCTTCCTCATCTATATGCTCTATATCCTTGGGACGTCCTCCCGACGTGAAAGGCATTCTATAAATGTAATTTTGTTGTTGTTGTTGCTGCTGCTCCCTCTTGGCAATGTCATGCACAGACATGGGGATGTCACACAAATCTACTTCTCCTCCTCCAGCTGTGACTTCAGGTCCGCTG